AATGCATTTCTGCTTATTTCAACGCGAGCAACCACGAAGTTGGGTGGTTTCAAGGAAGGTGAATTTCAAAGATTTAAAACCGACTCCCAATACTTGTGATGTAAGATGCCAGACATTATGATAATAATTATTATTATTGTTATTATTATAATAAATATTATTATCATTATTATAAAAGAATAATAATCTGATGAAATTTCATCTCGCTCTCTACTTTTATCTGTCATCATATATGCAGTTTTTAATTTCATTCTATCTGTTTGTACACTTTCGTGTTCAGCATATGCGGAGGTGTGGATGAGATTAGCATACCAGAGCTTTAATGTGAAATAAAGTTTTGATCTAGTTATCTTTATGATAGAAATAATCACTGTGTGTGTGTGAAGTTATCTGAACGCTTGTTTACCAGAAACTTCAGTAGATTGCAGAAGGGGAACCATCTAGAAAATAAAAAATGAAAAACACGAAATCATTATGCTAATAAAGATGTATAAATTCCTGAATGTTTATTTCGTGGTTTATCCTAATATATGCTGAATAAGACTAAGGTATATGACGTCATATCGTAACGGGAAATCCGAGATGGAAACGAGTTTGCCAATCTGAAACGTTTTTTTCAAGATGGACGTAAGGCAAGATGAAATTGCAAATAGAGGGGTCGCATCATTGGGAAAGTGATTTCTTCCCCAGCAAAATATCCAGAGAGCTGGGTATCTCCCAGTCGATGGTCTACAGATGAATATTGTAGGAGGAGAAAGGTATAAGAAGACTAGGCTCCATGCAGATGGGATACATCACATATGAAATATCAATGAAAAGGTAACCTTAAATATGTGGGAGTAGATCTTCCTGAATGTTGTTGGTGAACTCGCCTAAACAGAGGCGAGTTTCAATTTAGACAAGTATGGCAAATTGTTAGAAAGAAATATTTCCTCCCATCAGTATTTTGCTTTGCCTTGCCCCTTTCCAGAAACAATCATATCCCGGAAGGATAATCGCCCTAAACAGACGGCTAGGGCAAAATGGTTCCATGACCTGAAAATCACCTGAAGTTCCCTCCGTGGCCAAGCAAAGCATGTGATAAATAAAAAAAGTTTGGGTGTATTGTCAATGTTTGCAAAACAGCAAATGAAAGAATCTCCCAACAGCTAAGTGTTGCGGAGGAAAGTTTACATAAACACGTCATCCCTCTCGAGAATTAGACAAGATACTGAAAATGATTGCTATTATTTTAAGTATGAGTACCTACAGTTTCTGTCTTCCCCCCCGTCCATCCATCCATCCATCCAAAATATTTATGCTATACTCCTGGTTTTGGCCATGGCTATTCAAACTTTTTATTAATCAATTGGGTTTGTCTTCCCTTGATATCAAACAAAACATAAATAGCAAACACAAATTTTATAGTTTATACTCAGTTACTCTTCAGTATATCTTCACTATAGGAAATGAATTATACCATATTTACTTTCTATATCCCAAACAGCTGCTTAGACAATACCATGTTGGAACTGTAATTCTTCAATAAGTTATAGCAAATACCAAACAACAAATAAAGCAACATTTTTTTTATTTCTATATTTCAGAATAAAATACATCTTTTTAAAAAGTATACCCACAACATATCTCACAGCCAGGTAACACCACCTTTTGGTTTTGTCTTTCCACATGCAAACATTAAAACACAACCAATCAAGAATGACTGCATCTTTACGGAAAAAAAAACTATTCTACAGTCAGAAGTCACCTCACAAAGCCTCATAATGGGATATCAATTAACTTTGCTTTGTATAGTATAAGTAAACTCATACAGGTACACTTACCCTATTTTCAATAGATCTCGTGTTTTACAGAGCATGGTAAGTAGTCTTCTATTTATGGTGACTGAACACACCCATCAAGCATTTTTTCTTTGTGTAAAATATATTCTGTGCTTTCTAATAACAAAGATCTACATTTCAACATCCGACTGATTGTGCTTCATCAATAAAAGACATGCAATTTACTAAGCGTACTTACTAAAATTGAGGTAAATGTGAAAAATTATGGCAATTTTACAGTAGTAAAACAAAAGTAGTACCTTTCTTTGTGAATTTACAGTAAAGACAAAAATGCAACACTGAAAAGCTATGCAGAATGCTACGAGTATTAACAAAAAAAATAAATAAAATGATGAGATTTATAATTGATTCTGAAGCTCATTTCCACAGCAATTACTATTAATCATTATAACTAGCAGTGTAATGATTTACTTTCGATGTTTAGTGTTCTTCATGGAATGCACAATACCTCTTTATGATTGTTTTATGGAACTTTTGGTGTTTTTTTTTATTTGTTTTACTTAACCCATTCGCGCCGGGTAAAAATGAACAAAAAATGGGGGGAAATGCTGTGCTCATTTTTCATAATTTTTGTGAAATTTCTCTACACTAGATGGCTCTGCCTTACCTGATTTAATTTGGCGGGAAAATGTATTTTTACTAGTACTATGAATATCGATGGTTATTTTTATTATAAACATTATAATTACTATAATGTTAGTAACAGCAAAATAAGATAACGTATAATATTTTCGTAAATTAAAGAAAAGGGTAAACAGGCGAGACAGGCAGTACAAGTACAAGTGCAGCCATCTATGTGTAAAAACAATTAAACAAGTAAACTCACAGTGGGCCCGTCACATATACGTGACACCCGGCATGAATGGGTTAATGGCACACAGCATGCACTATGGCTTGACTATAGGGGTTAAGGACTTACTTTCTATGTACCGTCAAAGTGGAAAAGTTAGAAATATAGAGGATTTTTAAGATTTATAAGCAGCAATAAAAAATGTTAAGAGGTGCAGTTACCAAAGAGGAGAACAGTGCTTGGGAATGAAAGCTTAAACAATAGGTACTGAAAGCATAGTATACCTAATGACCATGAGTTTTTTTCCGAGGTTTGTTTAAAATATCATGGCCATATGGGGCTCTAAATTCTATCTTTAAGTGTTATCCTTATAAAAGCATCTCTATACTTCTGGTATTCTTAAATCACCCCCCTTTTTAGAGAATAATATATGAAAAAAAAAATATATAAAAAAAAATATTATATTGATGTCTGCCCCTTACGCGTCAGGCACGAATCCTGCCCAACCTAACATCCTCAAGACAGATCTTATCAATTTGCCGAAGCCACAACTTTCATGGCTGTCCTACAACCCTCCTCTTACAAGAATTGTCTTTAGAGGAGACCACCTCAGGGAATCAAGTCAAAGTGACCATATAACTAGAGCTGGCAGTCCTGGATAGTACAATAAGAGATCCTACCCCAGTCTTACAGTGTAGACGCTATTTGGATATATAGCCTTGTCAACTGTAGCACATGAAACAACATAAAGACCTATTGCAAAAAGTGTCAAGACAATACTCCAAGGTTAAAGTCCACATTTCAAAGATGTGCACCAAAACCAGGAATGTCAGAGCCTTGAAGACCTATTTTTGTCCTGCAAAAAGACCTAGGCATTTCCAGATATTTTTACTGAGGAAGTTCATTACTCTTCCTGCCAGGTCAACCCATCTGTTGACTTTATGGTCTGAAAACCAAGAGGTATGAATTACATTAACAAGATATAATAAAATGATCAAGATAAAACTCTTGGTGACTTTGACGTCTTCACTGAAGCATATAACAACTGATAAGATTGCCAGGAATATCCTCAAAGTGCTGGATCTTGGTCGTGGTCCAAGAAAGCTCTTGACCCTAGGGCTTTGCCTCGGCTAAATGCATCAAGAATAGCCTCAAGGGTCTCCAGAGGCTCACAATAAGATAGCAACTTCATCATCAAAGTCAAGGTCAGAATAGTACCATGTCCAGTTCTTGCAAGTGCTGAATTGAGTTGATGCAAGAACAGAGGTTTGTCTTACTCCTGAAGTCATAAGAAAGAAGCTTTTTACAATTTACAATATTTTCATTACTGATACACAGGCTTGCTACTGGTACAAGCCCATGACCAATCTCAGTGCTGTAAGGAGAGTCAGAGCACAAGGACACAGTCTACAGTGGATAATCCAACAGTGAATCCATATATAGCAAGTACTGTGACTGGCATGCTGAGCAGTATAATACCTTGCTGCAGAACCAGCAATCCATTTCTTCTTCCAGAGAGAACATTGATAAAATAAAGCCTGACATTATATATGATAAAACCAGATAATATAGTGATTACTGTAGGGTGGAATTTATTAGTGGCATGTTTTGCATACTATACCACTTGAAGCATAGTGAACCAGAATCCTAAAAAAAAATTGTTGCACTTTAAATTGTTTTCATTCATTTTTTGGCCATTTAAAAATAAATATCGTCAAATTCTACATGAAAAGACAAATCTACAGAAACTATTTTGGAAAACAAAAGAAAAGCAAGGCTGCCTAATCCCATCCTTTACTAAAACCCTCAAAGACAAACACAAAAAAAAAGAAAAAAAAAGTCTATCACAAACTTCTAATAAAATTAATAAATGGGATCCTCGTTACGAAAACAGCAATTATTTCGGAGAATAAAATGTACTTGGGAATCAGTTCTGGAAAAATGACAATTGGCTCTGTATCATTACGCATTACTGATGACCATGAAGAAAGATATACCTTTTTTATGTACTACTGTATTCCCATATTTATTCAGCATAAAGCATGCACTGAGTTATGCACATTTCCTAACATCCTGAGTCAATCTGAGCAGCACCAGATGTACAGAAACCAAAAATAATAATAGTAATTACAATTATTATCATCACTATAATAATAATAATAATAATAATAATAATAATAATAATAATAATAATAATAATAATAATATAATAATAATAATAATAATTATAAAAATAACTATAAAAAAAAAAAAAAAAAAAAAAAAATAATAATAATAATAATAATAATAATAATAATAATAATAATAATAATAATAATAATAATAATAATAATAATAATAATAATAAAATAAAAAATAAACAAAAAATAAAATAATAATAATCAGAATCAGAATCATAATAATTCTATAAAAATAATAATAACAATAATAATTATGAAGATGAGGATGAGGATGAACTTCAAAGTGATCATGACGACAAGGATGGTGATATGGCAATGGCAATGCTAATGATGATGATGATGATAAAGAAATAATTATTATTATAATAATAATAATGATAACAATAATAATAGTCATCAAAAAGGTCAGTGATTTGTAATGTTTCAAAAAGGAACAAAATGCATCCAAACCAAATTTTTTGGTTTTACCCTTGGCAAAAGTGTCTTCATCAAGGTTACATATTCATGAACCTTTTTTTCTATTTTGGGTTATAAATGCATGAAGGAGACTTCCCAATCATGAGTACTTTTATGCATGAACACAACAACTGTTAAGTAATTGAAGATATACCCTAATTTTACAGAAAAAAAAATGACTACAGACATTTTTATTTCTATTTTCAACGAATGGGAATCTATACCCCTTCTTAAAAAAAAAAAATCTGAAGTATTTTATACATTCATTGTTAGTACAGATCAACATCAACTTCGTTTTATTTGCAAAGATTGCAAAACGTTTTTTTTTTTTCTTTCTTTTTCCTTTAATACAAAACTAATTACAAAACCTAAATTCTATAAAAAATAAATGTTTCCTATCAACTCCCTTCACATTCGACATTCACACTTTGCTACAATATTTCTATACACCTTAATCTTGAAAATAAATATTGTCACAATCTTGAGGAGGGAAAAAAAAAAGGAAAAAAAAAAAAGTACCTATGGTGCCAACAAAACTGATGAGTCACTTGCTAACATTTGCTTCTGGCACAACTCACTTTGCTCATATTTGGCCTCTTAATAGCAGTACAAATGAAATTTCCCGCATCGATCAGTTTATCAAGGTCTACCCCTGTTTCGATTTGCAAGCCATTGAGCATGTAGACAACATCTTCCGTTGCAACGTTGCCCGATGCGCCGCTTGCATATGGGCATCCTCCCAGCCCGGCAACAGAAGCATCGACGACACTGATGCCCATCTGTGGGAAGATCAAAAATGAAATCACAAACTACTACAAGACAGAATATAAATATGTAGCTTTTGGTTTATAACATCGTACAATGCCTCTAAAAAATATAAAAGCAATAACATTATTATCAAAATGTAAATCAAAGTCAATATGACATCTTAAACTCACATTCCATATACAATTGCAATTCATCAACTCAGTCACAAACACAACAACAACAATAAAAAAAAATACAAACAATTTTTTAAAATGCTCACATTCTCACTTGGCACTCACACTTGCACTCACACAATCATGTGTATACTGGTAAGATCTAAACATTCATCATAAATAATATGAGTTATACTTCGGAAAAAAGCATACTGTCCTCAAGGGATAACACAGACTTTATGCAGCAGACAGAGACTAGATCAATATAACTAAAAATAATCACAATGCACACCAACCTGAAGGGCAATAAGGATGTTGGGAAGCGCCTGGCCGTATGTGTCGTGGCAGTGGACAGCCAAAACCTCAGCTGGGAGGACCTTGAGGACTTCATCTAACATGTTCTTCATGCTGCCAGGAGTCCCAACGCCAATGGTGTCTCCGAGGGAAATCTCATAACAACCCATCTCGTACATGGCCAAGGCAACCTAAGCAAATCGGGGACAATCACTGTATTTCTCTTTTTATCGTCACCTGGTTGAGGATTCGTCATTCTTATATAAACTGAAGAACATTTAAGTCTAATTTGCGTATCAAAATATTACATATGGGATATATGTAAATGCCATACCTACTGTGAGTTTTTATTAATTGCTTTTAAACATAAATGGCTACACTTGTACTAAGTCACCAATGAGCCAATTACAAGTACTACCTGTCTTGCTTGTTTACTCTTTTCCTTGATTTACGAAAAAAAATTACGTTATCTTATTCTGCTCTTACTAAAGTTTATAAAATTATAGTAATTATAATGTCCATAATAAAAATAACACCATTGACATTCATAGCATCAGTAAAAATTATGTTATTCCTGCCAATTCAAGCAAAGGTGAAATTAAGTAAGATCACAAGGTCTACTAATTGACTTCTTTGTGGCTAAGCACTAGCAGAGCCATCTACATGCAGACATATTTCACAAAAAAATAAAAAATGAGCACAGCATTTTTTCTAGCAGCATGTAGTTAAAACTCATATACTTTCAGGTTCCAATCAGCTGAACCGTTTTGCTCTTGGCAGTTTAAAAGACACAAGTCGCTGGTGTAAAGAGCACTCAGCCGCGATTAGTAACTTTAAGCAAGTTGTCCTGAAAGTCTCTTATCAAATACAGTTTCTTCATCCATGTCTGTCTGTCTGTCTGTCTGTCTCTGTATCTCAGGGGAAAGGGGTGAAAGGATTGGGGGATATGAAGAGCATGGTTAAGACCACAGAGGGGGAAACTGTGACATAGATTGCTAATGATAGTTTTACATTTTGGGTAGAAGGTTTCTAAATCAATTAGATGTCTAGCTGATTTACACGATTGGGGGGAAGACGGATGATGGGTTAAGCTATAGAGTTTCTAGGGCAATATACAGAGTCTACATTATAGAGCTAGAACAGAATATGAGGATCACTCAGCAGTAACTAAAATAAAATAGAGAGAGAGAGTGAGAGAGAGAGAGAGAGAGAGAGTGAGAGAGAGAGAGAGAGAGAGAGAGAGAGAGAGAGAGAGAGAGAGAGAGAGAGAGAGAGAGAGAGAGAGTGAGAGAGAGAGAGAGTGAGAGAGAGAGAGAGAGAGAGAGAGAGAGAGAGAGAGAGAGAGAGAGAGAGAGAGAGAGAGAGAGAGAGAGAGAGAGAGAGAGAGAGAGAGAGAGTGAGAGAGAGAGAGAGAGAGAGAGAGAGAGAGAGAGAGAGAGAGAGAGAGAGAGAGAGAGAGAGAGAGTGAGAGAGAGAGAGTGAGAGAGAGAGAATGAGAGAGAGAGAATGAGAGAGAGAGTGAGAGAGAGAGTGAGAGAGAGAGAGTGAGAGAGAGAGAGTGAGAGAGAGAGAGTGAGAGAGAGAGAGTGAGAGAGAGAGAGAGTGAGAGAGAGAGAGTGAGAGAGAGAGAGTGAGAGAGAGAGAGTGAGAGAGAGAGAGTGAGAGAGAGAGAGAGAGAGAGAGAGAGAGAGAGAGAGAGAGAGAGAGAGAGAGAGAGAGAGAGAGAGAGAGAGAGAGAGAGAGAGAGAGAGGGAGAGAGAGAGAGAGTGTTTTTGGAGGAAATGGGTCAATCTGCAATCTTTGATGGGGTATACCAAGCACCTATTCCATTTTGGGGAACAGTACAACAAAAACTATTATTAAATGTCCCCATAGTGCAGGCTTTCCCCAGAACCAGTTCCCCCTGCACTTTTCTGTACACTAACTTGCTGTCATGATCATTTCGGCTGAAGTTTGTTATCATACATTGGAGGTGAAGTTTTAACATTTATCCGGCTTTAATAAAGAATAAAATCTGCATCACTCAATTAGATTGAGGTTAGAGGAGTAACGAGTCTGAAAATATGAAATACACAATTCTGGCCGATTTATTTATCAAAGTTCAAAATGCTACTCCTCATTACCTATCAGCATAAATGGTAGCACACAAATAGAGAAAGAGAGGAATGAAAAAAAAAGAAAAAAAAGGAAAAAAGAAAAAGAAAAAAAAAGTGAACACATTTACTGATAAACAAATAAAAGAAAGAAAATACAAAAAGGAAGGAAAAACGAATCACATAATAATCAAATAGGAAACACGAATCATAAAATAATCAAATAAGAAACGCGAATCATATAATAATCAAATAAAAAGAAATCATACATACCTTTGCAACAGCCTTGGGATCGACAGGGCCTTCGTAGGGACACCCACAGACACAGGAGACGTAACCCCTAACACGAATCCCAGCCTCCCTTGCAGCGTCCATTACAGCTTGAAATCTTTGCAAGGATTCGGCAATGCTGCAATTTATATTCTTTTTGCTAAATGTCTCCGAGGCAGCTCCAAAGATCGCCACTTCCTCACACCCTGCTGCTACCTGTAAAAAGGTTTTATTTTTGTATTGATAGACTGTTGAACATATGAATATATGAATGAATGTCTTTATACACATTTACCCCACATGAGCAAAATAACATAAAACAATATCAATTCAATATATCCCCAATATATTAATAAAAAAAAATTAAAAATGACAATGTAACTTCTGTGCCTGTTTAGAGAACATCTTTTACAGGGTTGTTTATTCTGATGCTTTGTGGCATTAACTAAATTTCTTTTTTTTTCTCTCTCTCTTTTTTTTCAAGAAAATATTACCAGGTGGGTAAAGCAAGCAGGAGTCATTCCTTGAAGAATTTATTCACATATTTATCTATTCATCAATTTTTCATCAGACTCAAAGCCTTGGCAATCAGAAAAATTTGTGCATATGTCAAAAAAACAACAACTAAATACCATTAACGCCAATGCTAATAAAGATGGCATGTATGTACATGCCATGCCCATTGTAAATTTATTTTTTTGTCTTCACACACAGATGGTCCTACAAGTCATACCTCTCACCCATTTTCCTTGATTTTTGGAATTGTTCTTTCTAATTTAATTTCCTATTAACGTTGCTGATAATATTATAAACATTATAATGTATATTAAGACAACAGCACTGATATTGACCCCTTTGCTCTGGATAATATGGCCATCAGATAATGAAAAAATTTGGCTCATGTGGGGGGGGGAGGGGGCTGACAGCATCATGGGAAAATCTGGCAGCTGGCCACATGACGCGAACTTGCACATTTCATCTGAAGGCCTATGATGGGAAAGACTCTTTGAAGGGTGATCAGACTCATTTGGCAAATTTTGAATTATTCCCATCAAGAAACAAGTGTGGAATGTAATGTCTGTGAGCCATAACTGGAGGAGCACCACTACCATGCTCAGCATTGTATTCCTGGCACAGTATCCGGTGGCACACATTGTATTAGAGGAAAGTGAATATTGCAAAAAATAAATAAATAAATAACAAAATGTTAACTGTTGTAGACTACCTGAAGAGATGATATGGAGACTGTCCAAAGAAATCACTCTATTAGCATATGGATAATGCAAATCAAATTATAAATATGGACATTGGAAAATAGTAAAAAAGCTAAAAATGCTTATGCATAAAAAGAGAAAATAACATTGCAAATAAGAGGTACAGAGTCTTGTCAACACACATGAGTGTTCGCATGTGCCCACCTACAAGCCACACACCTAGCAGAGCAGCTACTCACACTTAAGTCTAATGCTCAGATTTTTGGGAGTGTGACTGCCATGATACAACTGGATCTAAGGGGTTAATAGCAATTGAAAAAAACCTGAAAACTCACTGAAAACAGACATCAGGTATTTATGTACAGTCAGAAAAATAACTATGGTTACCTTTATTTTTAGTCAATGAGGAACTGAACACTACATCTACTATGGCTTAACCATTGTGGAGACACCTATGTGGAAAGCTATTTCACTGAACTAAACTTTTGCAAATGTTACCTGTTTCAGGTGGCACTGGGCCAAAGAAAAACAACACAAATCAATAACAGAGATCCTTCTAAAACCATTTAATTTTCACTGATATTTTGTTCCCACACATTTCTCTCGTATCTGTACTTACTGCAGCCTGAAATCCCTTCAGATTGGGGGTCAGTACAGGATAGGAGACACCAGTAAAACGTTTAATGCCAGTTAACACTTCGCTGTGATCTGCCATTTGTGGGACCCATTTTGGAGATACAAAGCTGAAAAAAGAAAAATGAATCTGAATTCAGGAAAGAATAGAATATTTATAAAGATGATGGTAATACCATGAATATTCCTTTCATAGACTTCCAATCTTTACACATTCATGCACACAAACACACAGAAACACAAACATGTGTGCTAACAAACAAACAAAAAGAAATACACACACACAAACACACACACACACACACACACACACACACACACACACACACACACACACACACACACACACACACACACACACACACACACACACACACACACACACACACACACACACACACACACACACACAAAAAAAATCATAACTTGTCACATGTATGCTGTACCTGGTCACCTCCACAGCCTTATGTCCAGCTCGAGACAGCATGTTAATAAATTCAATTTTTACGTCTGTTGGCACGAGGGCCTTTTCATTTTGCAGTCCATCCCGAGGGCCAACTTCGACAATCTTGACTTCTTTGGGGTACTGTGACTGCAACTGTGCCCCTCGGATCTGTTGGATACACTTTTTGATAGATTTATGTCTTTTATGAAAATGGATGGAAATTTGTCCACTTGAATGAATCTATTGATTGAATTAATGAATTTTACAATATGAAGACATCATATGGCTTGCAGGTTGCTGTGTCTCCAATCTAAAGAAGAAATATAGTTCAAGGAAAATCTATGATCACACACCAATATTATCAAAACAGCAAAAAAACAACAAAATTATTAATATATCAATAACACAAATCCATGCATCTATACTAATGATGGAAACTAGTGAGTGCAAGAAAACAGACAACCACCTTCAAAACACAATTTCTGGGATAAAAAGGAAAAGCCATTCATCCATCTTCACAACCTTCACAAACTGGATGTAATAATGTGATAAAAGTAAAGTGCAAGTTATGGAATTCTTTTTTTTTTCTTACCTCTACATACTGTGATTTTCCAAATGCAAGCTAAAAGGGAGCATACAGTAACAGTTAATTAATCTAAGATAATAATTATTAGTTAAAAATATAATTTTCAAAACCCAAGAAGAGAAAAAAAAAGTTACACAAAGATACTACATACTTTGCACTGGAGACCATAATCTTAAAAAATGATTTCACCGTTCAATGAGTAATTCATGTGTCTGGCAGAACTTAGTGCCTCATATGGTTCTTATGGGTTCCTTGTTGATATAGAACACTTCTAATGAAATAGCAGCAAGTAGCCATATATCTCTAAAGCACTGGTTCTTAGTCCTTGGGTTGCGACTCAAAGTTGGGTCACCAAGCCAATTCCAAAGCTCACCAAGAATATGTGCACAATTTTTTCCCCAACATCCTATTATCAAAAAACTAATCCTGTGTATAGGATGCCTAAACTAATTAATATCTAATCATATTAATTATGGAAATGATAGAGACAAACAGTTTAACTGAAATGAAACAGTCTAAATCTACTCATGTTTATGAAGAATATGGGTGCTCATGGTCAATCTGGACTGGATTTTGGGTCATAGCCTATCATCTAAGACCAGATATTATCTAAGGATAGTAATTTTCCATGAAATTCAAGGAAGTACCTCTCTGCAAAACCTTGTACCATGACTGGCACACTCCTTGATGAGGGATATGCCACCTCCCTGTATAGCAAAGATGAGTACTGAACATATAACTATGAACCAGATGGCATGGCACAAAACTATTTCAGGCCTTTTAAGCCTGAAACATGAAACCTAAATATTCCCCTGAAGCCACTGAAAACACAAATGCTTATTCTGGGGTAATTCATAGATTTTTGTTTAGTAATGAGATAATATTTTAAGCAGTAAGAATTAAGTTAGAGAACATGTATAATCTCAATGATTAAGTATACCCTCTGAAGAAAATTTGCCACACTTTTTTGTGAGGCACTATATAAGAGTAAATATATAAATTTACCCCTGATTTAGTTTATGACTGATGATAACTAACAATGAACAATAAAAACTGTAATGTATATGCAAAGATATAATGAAATGAATGCATCATAAGAATAACCATTTCTCTATTTCCGATTTGTCGGATGAGGAGTCTCAGTGGCTCAAAATACTATTACTACTATTAGTTACTCCAATCTTACTGTCACTGTACTCCATTTCATACACAATAATCATAAAATGTCTAATCTAATTACTGTTAATCATGAACATCCACAAATTATGTCAAATTATGACTACAATTAGCAAGGATGGAGCTAAACTTTCCTTGAGTCTTTTATAGCCATTATGTAAAATGATAAGGAAAAGTCACATAGAACCTATACATGTGACATAACCAGTATAATCAAGCAGACAAACATGAGTCATTCAACAGTGATATGACTTGACAAATATAAAAAGTCACAGTCTTATCATGAGATTAGGAATACTGGATATGCTGTTCATTATTAGTAGAAACTGCTCTATAAATATCTTTTCCTTATCATTAAAATCCAAATTTCTAGAAGTAAAGCTTTCCCTTAATCTAGAAAATGCAGACTCAGTGTATTGAGAGGTATAGACTTCATTAAGGATATCAAAAGCAACAATAAGAGTGAAGTTGATGTTGATGCCCATAGTATTGCAGGGAGACATCTAATGATCTACAGCTTCCACCTACAAGACCTATTCTCGCCAACTTCCCTTACGTGCTATGAATGGTGGGGATTCTAATCATGACACCAAAAAGGCCTAAACTCTAAACACAAGATCAGTACCTGTGCACTTTAGCCCACAGAGCCTTTAAACTTTAGATTTACTCAACAAAGAAATTTTGGTTTAGCTCATCAACAGCCCACATTGATTAACACATGGGAAAAAAAAAAAAAAAAAAAAAAAAAAAAAAAAAAAAATCAGTCATTGAACTTAATGAATAAGAAATCTCCGAGCTTACTTAATGTGTTGAGTACAAGACACCAAAGTCATGTTAATTTATCCCGGCTTTTGCACTGGTGAGATTTTTAGCTTTGACATTCCTTTACACTACTGTTTTCTTCAGACTGAAAAAGAAATAATTTTCTAGTGTGTAAAACTGTTTCCTTAGCCTGTAACATCAAACGTACCTGAACTTAATCATTTCTTTAAGTAAAACACAAATGCAGTTATAGTTTAACTTTTCCTTTGTCTCAATGTCAATAACTAATCAAGAATGAGTTTAAAATCCGAAATGGAAAAAATTTAGATAACCTACAAGCCTGTCACCGGAACGCACTGAATGGTCTAAGCCTCTCGGTCCTAACAACAGAGACTTGTAAACCTCCTCGGCAATCTAATATATTTGGAATCAGTCTTAACTCTGTCTCATCAAAACTTGCATGTTTCTTTGGTTACCAAAGGATAGGTTTTGGTGCCCGACTCAAATCATCATTTGGTTATAAGAAGTTAACATCAATCTTAATATATGAACAAGACATTTTAATTTTTGGGACATACAATTAATATTACTCTTAAGATTTTAAAAAATCAAACTTTAAATACTAGGTCACACAATATTAATGCAAGAGCCTAGAAATTCAACCACCGTAAGTCCCCTTATTACCGCAGCCTCCGTCCTTTCGGCACTTTGGCAAAGCCCAACAATCCTCCACCATATATAGTTTATTATAGCAAAATAGTACTTGGACTAGGCTTATTTGACAGCAAACTACCAGGGTATTCTATAAGATATATATTGTCAGAATATACAGGACTGGTTCAAGGTTAATCATAATATTAATGTTACCCCTAAAATCAAAACACTAAAGTAAACATCTTATAAAGGCTGATCTAGAAGTTTTTCGGTAGGAAATTCTAATAGGTTGTTTCATTCATGCATCAACGTCTTTGCTACAAAATAAAGGTTATTACGAAGGCTATAGTTCTTAGAGTATCTTCATTCTAGCAACAGCAACCATTTATTCCCGCAACAGGAAGCTACCTTCGAGAGAAAACCTTGACCTTTATCCCCTTTATCTGAACACTACCCTTAAAACCCCTTCAATACCGAAAGCCCTGATCCTCAGCCTCCTCCCGAACTCACCGCAGAAGTGCCATAGGTCCTGCAGAAGGTCTTGAGGGCCGAGATAACGTTGACGCGGCACACCAGCAGCGTCGCCATGGTGGGCCGGAGGGGTCGTCTGCTCGCGAGTCGTCCGCCCGCGACGAGGGGCGACCCGGGCCCTCGCCGCCCGCAGGTCTCCAGGGCGGCTATTAATACCGCTTCTTCTTCCTTTCCTTCTTCTTTTCCTCTTTTTGTCTTACTTGTGTCTTGTTCTTCATTTTCTTTTTCCGATTGTTTTTTTGTCTCGAGGGCGGCTAAGTATACCTCTTCTTCTTCCTTATCTTCTTTTCCTTCTTCCTTTCCTCTTTCTGTCTTCCTTGTCTCTTGTTCTTCATTTTCTGTTTTCAATTGTTTTTGTCTCTCCACTTCTTTTTCTTTCATATCCACAGAGGGAATTACAAGGTATATGACTCGCAGTGAGTGAGGGGGACACTTGCTATTGGTAGGGAAATGTATACTTACTACAGGGAGGGAAACGTATACTTACCATAGGGAGGGAAATGTATACTTACTACAGGGAGGGAAACGTATACTTACCATAGGGAGGGAAATGTATACTTACTATAGAGAGGGAAATGTATACTTACCATAGGGAGGGAAATGTATACTTACCATAGGGAGGGAAATGTATACTTACTACAGGGAGGGAAATGTATACTTACTATAGAGAGGGAAATGTATACTTACTATAGAGAGGGAAATGTATACTTACTATAGAGAGGGAAATGTATACTTACTACAGGGAGGGAAACGTATACTTACCATAGGGAGGGAAATGTATACTTACTACAGGGAGGGAAATGTATACTTACTACAGGGAGGGAAACGTATACTTACCATAGGGAGGGAAATGTATACTTACTATAGAGAGGGAAATGTATACTTACTACAGGGAGGGAAATGTATACTTACTATAGAGAGGGAAATGTATACTTACCATAGGGAGGGAAATGTATACTTACTACAGGGAGGGAAATGTATACTTACTACAGGGAGGGAAACGTATACTTACTACAGGGAGGGAAATGTATACTTACTATAGAGAGGGAAATGTATACTTACTACAGGGAGGGAAATGTATACTTACTACAGGGAGGGAAATGTATACTTACTACAGGGAGGGAAATGTATACTTACTATAGAGAGGGAAATGTATACTTACTACAGGGAGGGAAATGTATACTTACTACAGGGAGGGAAACGTATACTTACCATAGGGAGGGAAATGTATACTTACTATAGAGAGGGAAATGTATACTTACTATAGAGAGGGAAATGTATACTTACTATAGAGAGGGAAATGTATACTTACTACAGGGAGGGAAACGTATACTTACTACAGGGAGGGAAACGTATACTTACTACAGGGAGGGAAACGTATACTTACTACAGGGAGGGAAATGTATACTTACCATAGGGAGGGAAATGTATACTTACTATAGGGAGGGAAATGTATACTTACTACAGGGAGGGAAACGTATACTTACTACAGGGAGGGAAATGTATACTTACTACAGGGAGGGAAATGTATACTTACTATAGAGAGGGAAATGTATACTTACTACAGGGAGGGAAACGTATACTTACCATAGGGAGGGAAATGTATACTTACTATAGAGAGGGAAATGTATACTTACTACAGGGAGGGAAATGTATACTTACTATAGAGAGGGAAATGTATACTTACCATAGGGAGGGAAATGTATACTTACTATAGAGAGGGAAATGTATACTTACCATAGGGAGGGAAATGTATACTTACTATAGAGAGGGAAATGTATACTTACTATAGAGAGGGAAATGTATACTTACTATAGAGAGGGAAATGTATACTTACCATAGGGAGGGAAATGTATACTTACTACAGGGAGGGAAACGTATACTTACCATAGGGAGGGAAATGTATACTTACTATAGAGAGGGAAATGTATACTTACCATAGGGAGGGAAATGTATACTTACTACAGGGAGGGAAATGTATACTTACTATAGGGAGGGAAATGTATACTTACTACAGGGAGGGAAACGTATACTTACTACAGGGAGGGAAACGTATACTTACTACAGGGAGGGAAATGTATACTTACCATAGGGAGGGAAATGTATACTTACTATAGAGAGGGAAATGTATACTTACTATAGAGAGGGAAATGTATACTTACCATAGGGAGGGAAATGTATACTTACCATAGGGAGGGAAATGTATACTTACCATAGGGAGGGAAATGTATACTTACCATAGGGAGGGAAATGTATACTTACTATAGAGAGGGAAATGTATACTTACCATAGGGAGGGAAATGTATACTTACCATAGGGAGGGAAATGTATACTTACCATAGGGAGGGAAATGTATACTTACCATAGGGAGGGAAATGTATACTTACCATAGGGAGGGAAATGTATACTTACTATAGAGAGGGAAATGTATACTTACCATAGGGAGGGAAATGTATACTTACCATAGGGAGGGAAATGTATACTTACCATAGGGAGGGAAATGTATACTTACCATAGGGAGGGAAATGTATACTTACTATAGAGAGGGAAATGTATACTTACCATAGGGAGGGAAATGTATACTTACCATAGGGAGGGAAATGTATACTTACCATAGGGAGGGAAATGTATACTTACCATAGGGAGGGAAATGTATACTTACCATAGGGAGGGAAATGTATACTTACCATAGGGAGGGAAATGTATACTTACCATAGGGAGGGAAATGTATACTTACCATAGGGAGGGAAATGTATACTTACCATAGGGAGGGAAATGTATACTTACCATAGGGAGGGAAATGTATACTTACCATAGGGAGGGAAATGTATACTTACTATAGAGAGGGAAATGTATACTTACCATAGGGAGGGAAATGTATACTTACCATAGGGAGGGAAATGTATACTTACTATAGAGAGGGAAATGTATACTTACCATAGGGAGGGAAATGTATACTTACTATAGAGAGGGAAATGTATACTTACCATAGGGAGGGAAATGTATACTTACTATAGAGAGGGAAATGTATACTTACTATAGAGAGGGAAATGTATACTTACCATAGGGAGGGAAATGTATACTTACTATAGAGAGGGAAATGTATACTTACTATAGAGAGGGAAATGTATACTTACTATAGAGAGGGAAATGTATACTTACCATAGGGAGGGAAATGTATACTTACCATAGGGAGGGAAATGTATACTTACCATAGGGAGGGAAATGTATACTTACCATAGGGAGGGAAATGTATACTTACCATAGGGAGGGAAATGTATACTTACTATAGAGAGGGAAATGTATACTTACCATAGGGAGGGAAATGTATACTTACTATAGAGAGGGAAATGTATACTTACCATAGGGAGGGAAATGTATACTTACCATAGGGAGGGAAATGTATACTTACCATAGGGAGGGAAATGTATACTTACTATAGAGAGGGAAATGTATACTTACCATAGGGAGGGAAATGTATACTTACCATAGGGAGGGAAATGTATACTTACCATAGGGAGGGAAATGTATACTTACCATAGGGAGGGAAATGTATACTTACCATAGGGAGGGAAATGTATACTTACTATAGAGAGGGAAATGTATACTTACTATAGAGAGGGAAATGTATACTTACCATAGGGAGGGAAATGTATACTTACCATAGGGAGGGAAATGTATACTTACCATAGGGAGGGAAATGTATACTTACTATAGAGAGGGAAATGTATACTTACTACAGGGAGGGAAATGTATACTTACCATAGGGAGGGAAATGTATACTTACCATAGGGAGGGAAATGTATACTTACCATAGGGAGGGAAATGTATACTTACTATAGAGAGGGAAATGTATACTTACTATAGAGAGGGAAATGTATACTTACCATAGGGAGGGAAATGTATACTTACCATAGGGAGGGAAATGTATACTTACCATAGGGAGGGAAATGTATACTTACTATAGAGAGGGAAATGTATACTTACTATAGAGAGGGAAATGTATACTTACTATAGAGAGGGAAATGTATACTTACCATAGGGAGGGAAATGTATACTTACCATAGGGAGGGAAATGTATACTTACCATAGGGAGGGAAATGTATACTTACTATAGAGAGGGAAATGTATACTTACTATAGAGAGGGAAATGTATACTTACCATAGGGAGGGAAATGTATACTTACCATAGGGAGGGAAATGTATACTTACTATAGAGAGGGAAATGTATACTTACTATAGAGAGGGAAATGTATACTTACCATAGGGAGGGAAATGTATACTTACTATAGAGAGGGAAATGTATACTTACCATAGGGAGGGAAATGTATACTTACCATAGGGAGGGAAATGTATACTTACCATAGGGAGGGAAATGTATACTTACCATAGGGAGGGAAATGTATACTTACCATAGGGAGGGAAATGTATACTTACTATAGAGAGGGAAATGTATACTTACCATAGGGAGGGAAATGTATACTTACCATAGGGAGGGAAATGTATACTTACCATAGGGAGGGAAATGTATACTTACTATAGAGAGGGAAATGTATACTTACCATAGGGAGGGAAATGTATACTTACCATAGGGAGGGAAATGTATACTTACTATAGAGAGGGAAATGTATACTTACCATAGGGAGGGAAATGTATACTTACCATAGGGAGGGAAATGTATACTTACCATAGGGAGGGAAATGTATACTTACCATAGGGAGGGAAATGTATACTTACCATAGGGAGGGAAATGTATACTTACCATAGGGAGGGAAATGTATACTTACCGCGCAGCATAACGATAATAATCACCACTGTTATTTCCTCAATAATGGTGTCATTATTATCATTAGTGCTATATATAACTATTCCTCGTTGTATATTTACTATTGTTTTTTTTTTTTTTTTTTTGCCATTCTCGTTGTTTTTTGTTCTTATCATTACTAGTAGTAGAAGAGGAAGCAATAGTATTGGTATCGTTATCAACTTTATGTTTAAACAAGATTATTTTTATTATCATTATCATTGTTATCATCATTACCATCATCATTGTTTTTATTGCATTATTGCTATCATCATGATCATTACTACTGTTATCATTATCGCAACTATCATTTTCTCATAGTTATTATTATTACTATCATTATTACTGTTATTATAACTATTATCATCATCACCATCACATCCTTATTATCATTATTACGATTATTACTGTTATTATTATTATTATTATTATTACTATCATTATTATTACCATTACTATTATTATCATTATTATCATTCCTATTCTTACCATTATTACTATTACTAGTAGTAGTAGTAATAATTTCATTATCATAGTTAATATGGTTGTTATTATTATCATCATTACTATTATTATCATTATTATTATTATCATTACTATCATAATAATAATAATAATTATTATTATTATTACTATTATTATTATTGCTATTATTACTATTACTACTTGTAGTAGTATCATCATAAATTATTATTATCAAT